ATTAATTATAATCGATACAACGCAAATCATCAATGGCATTAATTTAATTATTCTCGGCATGAGGTATTCATAGTATAAATCTATAGGTAACAGTTTCAAATGATATCACATAATATTGTGCTCTCGTGTGAATTGATGATGTCTGCATTCCTTCTATCTATATCTACCCAACTAGATATATAATAGCTATGTATAGTGTACAATATATATATTGCAATCATTCTGCAATATTGCGGTTTACTATTTGGTGGCTAGATTTAATCTAATGTAAACTTGAATATTCATCCCTAAAAGCGAATCGGGTGATTAGATAAATGGTCCATTTTCGGTTGTCCACTCAGAGTAAGTTGAAATGAAAGAAGACACGGTGTTGTGGATTTCGATCATCGAACAAAAGTATCACCATTAGAGTGATGAAAATCAGAAAGTGTTCAGTTTTTATTTATATCACAAGATATTTTTAAAAGTGATTTGGTGCGATATTTGTTTTATTTTATCGATCATATTGTACTACACAGTACACGTATAATAAAAATACYTCAATTTTGTTAATGTATTGGAGTAAAAAAGTTCATATACTTTTTAAATAGTCTACAAATACATAAAATTATAAAAACTTTTAAAACAAGTATTGAATTATCACTTGAACGTAGTATTTTAAATTAGTGTATAAGTATTTGTGTTTAAATTGTATTGTCAAATACGTTTTCCTTATGTTAATTCCACCACCACAAAAAAAATTTATAATGATATAGATGCGCGTAGAAGTAAAACATAAAATAAAATGTATGTAAAATAATACAAATTTGATAGAAACATTATTTTCATTTAAGTATAATGTTATCCTCAAATTTATTGATAGTATTTTTCAGTGGCACAACCCATACATTATTTTATTTTGAATATCAGTATAATAGTCATAAACTATAATAGTGGTATTACTAAACAGGCACCTACTGTTGCCTATAGATTTTATAATAAAGCTGGAAAATCAGCTATCATTGATGTAAAAATGTCTAAGGCTTTTTTTTATCGAAATACTATATATAATATATATATATATGTCGTAGGCATATAGTCAAATCAGGCATTTAGTCAAAGAATTAAATGTTTTATGCAATTTCACTATCCGCTTAGACATTTAATTAAATGACTAGGCATTTGACTAAATGCCTATTTCATGCCAAGCAAATAATAAAAAAAACATTTTGTATTATTTTAAAAATATAAATATATTTTCTATCAGTTATTTATTTAAACGTAATAGAGTTACTAAACTAAATTATTGTACAATTCAATCGCATGCTCTGTATCTTTTTCTATAACGCCATATTTTTGTCGTTATAATCGATAAGATTATAATTTGTCCCACGGTACTTAATATAGATAAGGTTCTCATACAACCTAGTACCTACGTTAATTTTCCAAGGTAAAAACCAATGGAACTTTTATTTTTATTTAATAAGAATATATAGTAGGTACTCACTACTCGTATTATAGACTATACTGACTATATAGAGTATACAATATACTCGTACTATCATTTATGTATGTCTATCACATCTAATTATTTATAACCTGAATATATTTATGATTTCATTTTTAAAACAATACTAAATAATAATTAACAAAAAATTTAACATATTATTTCATATACCTATGTGTTTTTCATATTAATAAATAATATACAGCTTTTTTTATATATAAAATAGCAATAAATAACTGATAGAAAATATATTT